GGGGGGGGATGGTGGTGGCTTTTAGCCCTGGGGGTGGTGCAAGTAGGGGCATTGCTCCCCTCCCACTTGTGGGGGCCCTTCCCAAATGTCAGCGGCAGGGTCTTCGGAATGCGCCAGACTGGCCGTGGCTTTCCAGGCCCGCTGCTTGGTGCCTCCCTATTGGAGTTTGTGTTTGTTTAATTTCTTAAAGTTAATCAGCAGAGTCAGCAGAGTATAAGTGAGTCTGAGTCCATGGTAGGTTAAAATATAAAAAGTTTACTACAACCTAACATGGGTAGGGTAAACAGGATGAAAAATAACAAAGAGCTTTATTTTCTACATCCTCACATCTAGACAGACTAACGAAGAGTAATGGAGACTGGAGCTTCTTCTTGCTCTCGGACAAAGGGTCATAAAATGCTAAATAGTAGCCACTCTAGCCTCCAATCAAAACAATAAACTAGATCTGAATCTAGCGGGCTTTCTAGCTCTCTAAACAGATAGGTCACAAACAAACATGTGATTCAGTAAACAGTATTAACCCAGTAAACACTAAATAGAAGTGTTCTAACTTGTAACATTCAACACTCCCTCTGTTGGGGGGGGGGGGTGTCACCCCTCTTTGGTGTCGTGGTTAAGTGTGCGGGCTCTAATCTGGGAGAACCAGGTTTGATTCCCCACTCCTCCACTTGCACCTGCTGGATAACTTTGGGCAAGCCGTAGCTCTGCCATAGCTGTCCTTGAAAAAGAGCCATTTCTGTCAGAGCTCTCTCAGCCCCACCGACCTCACCAGGTGTCTGTCTGTTGTGGGGAAGGGAAGGGAAAGGAGTTTGTGCACCGCTCTGAGACACCTTCGGGTAGGGAAGGGCGGGGGGTATAAATCCAGTCTCTTTTTCTTCTCTTCCTTTCCTGCCTTTAGCACTTGCAAGAGCAGCTGGACTTGGACCTTTCCCCTCTGGAGTACATGATGAAGTGCTATCCGGAGATCAAAGAGAAGGAGGAGATGCGCAAGATCATTGGCCGCTACGGGCTGACGGGGAAGCAGCAGGTGGGTGGGGGGGAGCGGGGGGGGCATCTTCAGTCAGGTAGGCGCAAGGAAATGGGGGCAGAGCCCGGTGGTCCCAGTCTCACTTCCTGCTTAAAAGCTTCCACTCTTACGGCGTGAAGTTGCCGCTGGGGGAGAGCTCACATGCACGCGCACCCCACCCCACCCGAGTGTCTGTTCCGGCCCTTCTGTGCACAGAGGTGGTGTGGTTCTGTGGGTCTGGCGGGGGGTGGGGTGGAGAGAGAGAAGCAGGAGAGCCCCGGGGTGTGCCGGTGGCCAGCTTCCTGGAACATCTGGCCGGGAGCCGTGACTTGGCCCTTTCCATTCCAAGACCAGACGTGCGGGCTCCGTGGCTGAAGGCCTCCGGGCCAGCTCCTGGCAGGAGGTTGGGGGGGGGGGCAGCCTACTTGTCATCGTGCCCCAGTGCTGCAGGTGTGTCCTTACCCAGCAGGTCAGCCCGATCCGGAACCTGTCGGATGGCCAGAAGTGCCGCGTGTGCTTTGCGTGGCTGGCCTGGCAGAGCCCCCATATGCTCTTCCTGGACGAGCCCACCAACCACCTGGACATCGAGACCATCGACGCCTTGGCCGACGCCATCAACGACTTCGAGGGGGGCATGATGCTCGTCAGCCATGACTTCCGGCTCATCCAGCAGGTCAGCAGCGGGACTGGAGGGAGGAGCGCTAAGCGGCGCCTGCACGTCGTGGGGTGTCCCCTTAGGTTTATTGTTTCGTTGCTTTGAAACCCCGTGTGCTGCCTTTTCGCCGAGGGTCCTCGAGGTGGCAAGCATCAAAACATTTAGACGTTTCAGTATTAAAATGGCATTTAAAATATGTACGTATAAAATATTTAAAGAAGTCAATAAGACATAGAAGCGGACCAGGTAAGGGGGCCGATAACGGCTAATGAGGGAACACTGAACGAGAAAAGTCTTCACCGGCTGGTGGAAGACAATAACATACAGGAAACAGAAAGACCTCTCTGGGGAAGGATTCCCAAAGCTTTGAGGCTACAGTTAAGCAGGGCCCTTTCTCGGGTGGCCCCCAGTCTGGTCTCAAGGGGCTCCACAGGTGACTGGAGTGCACAGGTAGGTTCCCCTAATGACAGGCAGTCCCTCAGCTGTGCTGCCCTCAAGCCTTCTGGGGCTTTAAACGTCCAGACCAGCGCCTTGAATTGGGCTTGGAAGCCAACAGGGCGCCAGTATAGATGGAACGAGCCTGGAATGGTCTGATCTTGCAGCATTCTGATCTTGCAGCATTCTGTACCAGGGGTTGCTTCTGGGCAGTCTTCAAGGGCAGCCCCACGTGGAGTGTATTGCAGTAATCCAATCTAGATATGACCGGGGCACGCACTACAATGCCAAGATCTTTGCCACCTAGCAAGTCACCCCTGGCCACTGCTGCTGCGGCCCCCCCCCCCCCCCCCCCCCCCAGTCTGGTTCCAGCCACATCAGTCCCATGCTATACTTCTGCTCCTGTAAGCAGGAGTGGCGCAACCCCGTCCAGAACAGGAGGCATCCCAGTTCCTGGGTCAGACCTTCCCCCTGCTGGTGTAATAACATCTCTGTTTTGTCGTGGTTAAGTCTCCTCTTGTTAGCCCTCCTCCATCCCCAGATGCCTCCAGACAGATGCTCCTCCTGAGACACCCGTGGCCCGGGGGGGGGGGCGGGACGCTTGCAGGACGGCCTCTTCCCCACTGACTGAGAGGCCCCCCCTCCCTCCAGCCCTGCTGGCTCTCCTTTAGGCATCAAGCCAAGATTTTATGTCTCCTTTTTTCTTTTCCTTTTTTTTACTGAGGGGCTCTGTCGATGGGCTGCCGCTCCGACCCTGAAGAGCCTCTCCTCAAGCTCCTCGTGCGCTCCGTTGCATTGGCCTTTATGCCCGGGCTGGATTTTGTGGCTGGTTTCTTCTTTGTTGTCTATTGTTGTCGTGGGCCGCCCGCGCATTTTGCGGGTAAACAGGTACACGAGGGGCATGGCTTTGGACCCTGTTGACTTCCTGGAGGGTAGCCCGGCCCGAATTCCCCAGGATGCTGGAAGGAGCCAAGGCAGCCCCCCCCTCTCTCTCTCCCCCCCCTCTCTCTCCCCCCCCTCTTCTACACCGGGGGGGGGGGGGGGGCTTCTGGAGTATCACCTTAGTGTGCCAGAGTGGGGGGAGCGTGATGGACACGCCTGCTGGGCGGATGTGTTCTGGGGACGGAAGAGGCAAATGCCGAGGGAGCTGGCCAGAGGTGCCGCCGCTGAGAGGAGCAAAGGGCTTCAGGGCATGCGGAGAAGTTGAGGGGGGGGGCCCTTAAGTGAACTGGTGGCCAAAGGGAAGTGGGATGAAGGGTTTGGAGGAAGTACTTTCTTCCCTGCTCAGCCTCCTGACAGAGCTGACTTGGCAGGAGGTCAGGAGAGAAGCCAGGAATACTTTAAGGCAGGATAGAAATCCAGTCTCCTCTTCTTCTACTTGTTCACGCGTGGATTGGTGGGAGGCACCATGTGGTAGAGCAGCAGCCAGCTTTTAGGTGGGTTTTTTTAATTTAAAAAAAAAAACCTGCCCACGGTTCTGTTTGGGTAGGAAGATCGGGTATAACTGTTGCAATAAACAAATGGTAACACAGCCTTGACAGCTGAAAGAAACCTCCACATTCATGGGCAGTGTACCTCTGAACAGCCGCCGCCGTTGCCTTCTTGACCTTCCCCACGGCTGAGGCTGGTTCGTGGATTATACAGAGTGCATGGGCTGGGTCTGGCACACACCCACCCGGTGTCACCGCGGAGGAAGGGCTTCCGTGCTCCCCTCCAGGCCGTTTCCCCACCTGGCCGGGGGGGGGGGGGGGGGGGCGGGGAGATGCCCTGTGGCTCCCTGGGGAAAGCCACAGGTAGAGTTGAGGGCTTTCCAATGCTGTTTCCATTGCTCAGGAAACCAGGGGGTGGGGAAGGCCAAAGTCCCCCCTTCACGCATGCCAAAGTTGCCGTCTAAACTGGGTGCACTGCACGTGCAACGATTGGGGAGGACCTGCAACCCAGCATGTGGCCAGGGATCCCAGACTCCACACAGGTGTCTGCTGTAGACTGACCCTCTGCCGCCGGGTGGTCTCTGTTGGGGACAGAGGTGGTGGGTCTCACGTAAGTGAAGGCCTGTGTCCTTCTCCTCCTCCTCCTCCAGGTGGCTCAAGAGATCTGGGTGTGCGAGAAGCAGGCGATCACCAAGTGGCAGGGCGACATCCTCTCCTACAAGGAACACCTGAAGTCCAAGCTGGTGGGGGAGGAGCCGCAGCTCACCAAGAGGACCCACAACATGTGAGCGCAGCCGGGCCGGCCGGGGCCCACTCCGGAGACCAGGGCAGGCCTCTGGCCAGACCTGCCACTGGGGCAGGGACAGACTGCGGCTCCCGGTCCTCTCGGGGCCCCACCGCAGCCGCTTCTTCCATCGTTCCTCACCGAGCCCTCCAGCCGTCTCCCCTCCGCTCGCCGTCCAGCTCCAGGGCTGCCCGTGCCCGACAGGTGCCCGTTCTCCAGGCCTCTGAGCCTCTCCTCTCCTCTCCCGTGTGTGTGTGCGTGTGAAACGGCCCACCCCACGCTTGCTGCTGCCCGGGCAGGCGCGCCTGGCCTTGCTGCTGCTGCTGCAGTCTCTGGACGGCACTGTCCTGGGGCCTCCGTTGGTTTTTAACAAGTATTTATCGGTATATTTGCCCTGAGGCATGATGAGTCAATAAAGATGGAGGGAAAAGACCCTGCTGCTCAGCCTCCTCCTTCTGGGGAGCCCCCCCCCCCCGAGGACCCACTTTCCCAGGTCTGGATGAGCAGGCGGGGAGAAGTGTCATCACAAGCACTGGAGCCATGGCTCCCGATCAAGCCTCTGTCGGAAACCTCTTCCTTGCCTTCAAGTGTCCAAAAGATCGTGGCCGTGTACGACTCCCTAGCGGAGCCACTGGGTGGAGCACGGCGGTTTGTGAGGAAACCTCTGCCGGCTGCCATGTCTCACTTCAGCGGCTCCCCCCCCCCCCCCGGCACCGCCTCCCCCTGGGCGGGCGGGGGGGGCGAGCAGGCCGGACTCCTGAGGATGGCAGGTGGCCCCAAGCGGGCGGGTGAGGGGGTCGTCTGGGGCACAAAACCCTCACCCCTGAGGCGGGGGCGGGCAGTGGCTCTTGACGTGCCCCAGGAGCGATGGCAGGCCCCCTGCTCTGTGGGGGTCAGAGCAGGTGCGGGGCTTCCTCCTGCCCCCCCCCACGAGGGGCACAGTGGTTCGCCTGCCTGGGGGGGTGGCAGCTCTGCAGGCCCACCTGGCCTGGGGAACTACCTTGTGGTGCAGTCCATCCTGAACTGAGTTGCCCCCTGTCAGCAGGCTCAGAAGGGGGGAGCGTGGCCCTGCTGTGGATGGGGCTGGAAGGGTGACGGTGCGGGGGGGGGCGTGTTCTGCAGTTTTCCAGGAGGGGGGCTGGGGCTGGGGTGGAGGCACCTGTGGCCCTCCTACCCTGCAGCAAGAACAGCTGTTTCTTTTCCTCCTCAGTCCTTTTCCTCCTCCTGGTGGCAGGAGCCGCTTGGGAGTGGTGGTTTCAGTGGGAGGAAAGGGTTGGAGCAAGGGTGTCGAACTCATTCCTTATGAGGGCCGGATCTCGCATAAATGAGACCTTGTTGGGCCGGGCCAGGTGTGTCATAAAACGTAATGCCAGGTAGCGGAGCTATAAACTTTATAAAGGACACAGAAAAACACAATTAAAAGTATTATAGCAGCTATTCCATTGGAGCCCCACATTAGGGGCTAATATTTCTCTGCAAAACTGAAGTTCCTTGAGTTTGCAGAACTCTGTTTTAACTGTGGTTAGTCCCAAACCTTCCCCGCCCCCCAGAAATATAAACTGCAGATATAAATGGTCTGAGCCTAAGACCCAGGGGAAGAACACGTAATGGCTGAGCATTGCAAGCTTCTCCCACAATCCCCGGTCTACTCCGAGTGCCAGTGACTCTCCTGGGGAAGGGGGGGCGCGCGGTGTTACTGGGTGGTTTCAGGTGATAATTTTGGGTGTCCCCTTCAGTGCTTGTTCTGCTATTATTCCTTTGGAGCTCCATATTAGGAGGGTGTGTGGGTTAAAACTAATATTTCTTTGCAAAACTGGAGTCCCTTGAGTTTGCAGAACTCTATGTTTTAACCCTGACTGGTCCCAAACCTTCCCCCCCACACACACACACACCCTTAAGACGTGCCTGCTTAAACTGGACAACGCGGGGGGGGGGGGGTTATGGGATTTTGCGAAGGCAGTTTTAAAAGAGAACAGAAGCACAGGGATCACAGCTGAAGGACACACACACACCCCGCCCCCCCAGCAGTCCTACCTGTGGCTGGGAAGTTTGGCAGCCTCGCCCTCTGCTTCCTGCTCTCAGAGGCAGCCCCGCCCTTGGCTCTTTAATACTCCCACACAGCTCAAGCAGAGAAGAGCGAGGGTGGGCAGGGGAGGGGGGGAGAAGAGAGCCCCACCCTCTCCTGGGGCCGGGTTAAAGGCCTCCTGGCGGGCCGGTTCCAGCCCACAGGCCGCAGCTTTGACACCCCTGGGTTAGAGCGCCGGGTGTTGTGTTGTCTAGTGGCCCTTCTCCCTCTCAAGTAGACCCGCCCCGAAAGGATGTGCTGAGCCCATACTGTTGGAGTTTCTTATGAAAATTGCGATTCAGCAGAGAAAAACAGTTTAGCAATGCCAGAGTGCAATACTCAGACGCAGAGTCCATGTGTGTTTAAAATATAAAAGTTTTTAATACATTCTAGCACAGGGAAAGGTAACTGGGAGGAAAATAACAACAGAGCTAATCCCTACATCTTCACTCTACAAAGAGGGCCCTTCTGGGGTGGGGGGTGGGGGGCATTGCCAGGGCCCTCAGGGCTCCCAGAGCCATTTGCTTGGCCAGGACGTGGGGCGAGATGCTGGGCGGGAGGCATTACTGGGCCACTCCCAGATGGCTGCTCTCGGGTACAGTAGGCGCCAAAGCCTGCCGTTCTTCCCAGCATGGACACTCCTGGCTCACTCTCCTGGCTGCAGGCTCCAAGGGGGCACCCGGTGTGGGCCTGCCCTCCCTGCTTAGCCAGCGGCTGATGAGGTGAGGGGGGGGGCAAAGTGTGCCAAAGGCTCCCGTGCATGCCCAGAGTCACCTGGCCGGGGGTCCCGAGAAGCCTCCTGCACCGTGCCTGGGGCCCCTTCCCAGAAAGCTGTGCTTTTTTTTGGGGGGGGGAGCTTCTTTGGCCTCCTGCTTAAGAGGTCCGTGCAGAGGTAGTGGGTGCCACCCCCCACCCCCAGTTCAGGCTCAGGTGGTCCACAGCTGTCCCACTCCTGCAGCAATCGGTTCCTGTTGGGTGATCGTAAGATATTGAAAAAATGGTATTTAGCAGAGATAAGAGTAAAATAATTCAGACTCAGAGTCCATGTGTGATTAAAATATAAAGTTTTTACTACATTCTAGCATGGGGAAGGGTAACTGGGATGAAAATAACAGAGCATCATCGGCTACATCCTTACTCTACAAAGACAAAACTAGAAGAGAGCGATTATGGCTACTCTTATTACTTCTTCAGAACAGCAAAACAAAGAGGGAAGAGAAGCCATAAAATGCTAATACACCTTGACACTTTAGTCCCAATCAAATCCCTAGATCAGGGAGAAAATTCCCTGGCATTCTACAGCTAAAGAACATTGGTTACATAAGAAACATGTGACTTCCTGTGAGTAACATAAACAAACATTTAACCCCAGATATACTGAGTGTTTTCAACTTGTAATACCCAACAGTTCCCAACAGCTTTCATTCAAAGAAGTAAAGCGTATTGAGACATTGAGAGTATGCAGATATCTTAACCATTTTCTGTTAGAACTGAAGAAAAGCGTGCACGGCAAACAGAACTACATCATTCATGGAGGGCCCCTGATGGCCCAGGGCCAATCAGGGATCAGGTAGAAGCCCGCCAAAGGAATGGGCTACTTTTCCCAGGAGAAAGACTACTTTCCCCAGGCCCTGAAGGTCACACAGAGATAACAGAAGCTGAGGAGACACAGCAGAAATGGAACCCAACCTTCCAGAGTCACCCCCCCCCCCCCACTCTCCCACCCCAGGGCTTGCAGGCCTCCCCGGCTGGGCCTGGAGGAAAAGGGAGAGGGCGGGGCCTCCGCCCACCTGGGAGGGGAGAGGAGCTTGTGCCATGCCCGAAAACAAGCCCTGAGCTGCCCCTGGCCTGGTGCCTTTCTGTTAGAGTTTTTAAAGAAATTCAGCAGAGTTAAAAAACAGCTTAGCAATGCCAGAGTTCAATAATCAGACCCAGAGTCCATGTGTGTTTAAAATATAAAAGTTTACTACAATTCTACCATAGGGAAGGGTAACTTGGGAGAAAATAACAGAGAGCTAATTCAGCTACATCCTCTCTAGACTAGAAGAACTGGAAAAAGATGGCCCTCCAACGTGCTTCTACTCCAAGGCAAACAAAGACGGGAAGAGGGCTCATAAAATGCAAAGTTACTAACACTTCGCTCCCAATCAAACTCTTAGAACAGGGATGCTTTTGCGGGCTAACAGACTTGAGCTAACACTGGCTAACACAAAGACAGGTGATTTCCTGTAACAACAGAACAGACATTTAACCCCATGCATACACATTGAGTGTTTTCAACATGCAAATACCCAACACCCCTTCTCATGTTAAAACACGAAAGTCACACAAATATAAACATTCACGAAGATTCTCAAAACGTTGCTTCTCAAGCGGCTTGGTCAGGATGTCAGCAATCATCTGGTCAGTAGGACAGTATCTCAGTTCAATCAGTTTTTGGTCTTGCAGCTCTTTCACGTAGTGACACTTGAGTGCGATGGTCTTGTTTCTAGACTTGGTTCCTTCTCCTTTGCAGATAGCAATACAGGCTTGATTGTCCTCAAAAAGAATTATTGGCTTTGGTTCATCTATGCCGAAGTCCTTCAATAGATGTATGATCCAGTACAGTTCATAACTTGCAGTTTGCGCTGACACACATTCAGCTTCTCCAGTAGACATGGCTACAATGCTTTGCTTTTGACTAGTCCAAGTAATTAAACTGTCTCCATAGTAGAACAAGTATCCACTTGTAGATTTTCCATCAGGTGAGGCTTTGTCCCAGTTGGCATCCATGTATCCAGTCAGTCTGGGTTCAACACAGGTTGAAATCTTAAGTTTGTAATCCAAAGTTCCTTTCAGGTATCTTGCAATTCTCTTAATAGCTTTCCAGTCATGCTCATTAGGTGAACTGGTCTTTCTGCACAAAAGTCCAACAGCTGAAGTAATGTCTGGACGACAGATTGTGCTCAAATACAATAATTTTCCAATTGCAGATCTGTACTCATGATTGTCTTTTAGTGGTTTACCTTCAGTAAGCTTGGGATAGTCCTTATCCATTGGAGTGCTTACAATTGCAGAATCTTTCATTCCTACAGATTCAATAAAGTCCATGATCTTTTGCTTTTGGCTCAAAAGAAAACTTCCATCATCAGTCCTTTCAATTTGTATTCCAAGATAGTATTGTACAGTTCCTAACTGTTTCACTTCAACTTCCTTGTTTAGTCCATCAGCAATTTCTTGTACATCACTTTGATTTTGACAGCAAATAATCAAATCATCAACATAAATTAGTATGTATTGATACTTTCCATTTTTAAGTCTTGTGAACAAGCAAGGTTCTGCTATTCCTTGTTTAAAGTTCTGTTTACGTAGCAGTTTAGTCAGCTTCTCGTTCCAGGCTTTGGCTGCTTGTTTTAGTCCATAGACACTCTTGTTGAGTTTACACACTAGGCCTTCTTGTCCTTCTGTTGAGAATCCCTCTGGTTGTTGCATATAGATTTCTTCATCCAGGTCTCCGTTGAGGAAGGCTGTTTTGATATCCAAATGTTCAACGTGCATGCCCCTT